ATATATGTATGTATATATATATATATAAAATTCACTTAAGGTCGATCGTCAATCTCGTCATCGACATTACTACAACACTGGCATAAAGGCCGCTCTTTCCGTATACGATTATCCTGGAGAGAAATATATTCGGTCGCGTAAAACGAACCCAGAGAATACATAAACATTTCCAGCATAACGGCAACATAAGTATGCTTGACTGACATTAATTGTGCATAATTTTCTACCCTTGCGTTGTTGCTCGATTCGCATGGGGACCAGTTTTAACGAAACGCGAATGTTGCATCTTAGTTTTTTCGTTCCGCATACGAATGAGGGGCCGTCGATCTATAGGACATTCACCGTCCGCGCACAACCAATATAGTATGGCTTTTGCACTCGCCATTAAGAAAATGTTATGCAAAAAAAATAAAAACAAAAAAAAAAGAATAAACTTCATTTTTGCATCTAAAATCAACTGTCGAATATTCATTCAAGTGAATTGCATTGTTCTACAAAGGCATGCTTAATTGCAGTTGAGAAAATTAATTTTCATTTGTCAAAGAACTTTCGGCTTGTGAATTTCATTTTATTTAGTAATGCGTCCTTATATTCAGTATCCATATGACTTTTTTAATTTTTTCGTTTCTCGATATTTTTTATTTTCTTCTCCTTCGTTTTGTGTTGATTTTTTTTTTGAAAAAAGAAATAAGCGAAAAAGAAAAATTTTGATTAAAATTTACTTAAATTTTTACTTAGATTTTACTTTAATTTTGTATAATGTGAATAAAATTGGTTTATAAATAAGTTAATTTTAAATAGCGTTTGTGGTAGCATTAAAAGAAGTGGTATTTTTATTAATAAAATATAGCAATTTCAGTATTATGGATCATTATAAAGTATAATCTTGAGGGAATTACAACACCTTGTAATAGAGCTAAAGTATACAGTTTAATAATTAGGTGTTTTGAATAACTACATACTCTGACATGATTACAGGTTTGCGGTAATTGTTTGCAAATAATTTATAGTTTATAGAAATTTGCCTTAGAAGTTGATATTATTTTTAGCAAGGAAGAAAGACATTTACTTTTTTGATTGGCAACAATTAAAAATTTAATTTTCCAAACTACAAAAAATTTATTAGATGCAAATAAACGATTACTTGTCCATCAAATTTAAATACTTTTTTTAAATTTGTGACATTAAAATCTACTTTTTCATATTTTTGAGAATTTGCCACCAGTTTAAATTCGATAATAGTTGGAATAAAAAAATTATTCTCAAAAATTTAAGTAAAATTCTTAGATTTTATACAAAAAAATATTTATTTGTCAATAAACAAGTAATTGTTTACCTGAATCAAATAAATTGTTTTTTTCAATCTAGGCAATAATTTTACTTTAGTCGCGTAAACTTATTTTCTAATACTGATTTTTACACGAAATTATTTATAACTGAATTTAAAAATATTTAAATATGATGATGAACACTTTTTGATGTTTATTTTATCATCGAAATAAATAACAAATAGTGTGTTTGGAAATAAAATTTATGCCATTATGCCGGCTGATGATAGCATAAACAATTATTGGAGGCGTCATATAAATATTTCATAGAGACATTGATGTAAGATAAAAGGCAATAAGATCAAGGGTTTAATAAATATAAAATTGAAATTAAAACAGCCTATAGTCATAATCGATAAAGGATGTGAGGAAAAAAGAAAGCAAAAAAATAAATAAAAAAAAAATTATCGCAAAAATGGTAGCAGAAATCTTCAAAGCATCGAATGTATATAAGTCGCGACAGTGAATCTCTGATCCTTGATGCCTGAAGGTTGGTAATCCGTGGCGTCGCACTTGGAACACAAATCTGATTGGCTCATGAATATTAAGTTCGGACCGCATAATTATTATCAGCGTTATAAATCGGGCGACTTGCTTCGCTTACCTTCCACGATATACACTCGGTCCTGCGTTATTATCTCACACACAAGCATATGCAAAATTGTTGGTATATATTTATGTTGGTGAAACGCACGAACACGATTACAATCAAGTGTTAATTACTAATCTGGTGACTACTAATTATAATTAACGCCTTTCGAGTCAGGATGAGGGTGCATTGTCTCAGAGACTTTTGGATCTGTCCCAAGTAATTGATTTATTGATTGTACGAGTATAAAAAGCCGTCACAACAAGTTGTTGGGTTTTTTTATTTTAGTCTCTTTGATATAATAAACCATATCTCAGGGTTGTTGTGAGTCAGGGAAAAGTCGAGAATTTCAGGATTTCTTTTTTAGTTTCGAAGAAAAAAGGTGGGGAATAGCAGGGGGAAATTAGGGAATTTTGTCAAAAGTACACAAAGAAAAAAATATATTTGGCTCGGAGACAACTATTTTTTTTTTAAATAAATTTTATTTAGCTCGAATAAAATTAACTATAATAATTTGAATGTTCTTTCATTCATTCACTACTTCTGTCCCTCACACTCTGAAGTTTTCTTTTGTTTATACTTTTGTTTTTTGTTATATCTTTAGATACTCTGTATATGATATTATTATGTTATAATTAATTCAAAATTGTAATGACAAACAGAAATCATGCGAATTTTTTTACTTCTTTTCATTAAAAGACTAAAATTTTCTTAAATATTATGTTTTGTCAAAAATTGAAATTATGCAGATTTTTGTTCTTTACTTCTAAACAAAATTAGAAAATTGTTAAACAACTGTGATTAAGAAATAGAAAATTTATTTATTTTGCATTATTTTTCTTTATGAATCACAATTTTTTAAAGAAAATTATTATTTTCTTTTTGGAAAAAGAAGAAAAATATTTGCACAATTTCTATTTTTAATCTTATTTTTGGAACAGGATTTTCCACAGGATTTAAGACATTCAAAAATTTCAAGTTCAAACCTTTTTTAAATTCAACAAGTTATAAAAGTATTTGTTATAAAACATGAAGAAATCGATTGCTCCGAGTCAAAGACTTGGAGTGATCGATTTCTTCATATTTTCTAATAATTAAAGATGACCGAGAGATAAAATCATTATTTTATATTATTATGAGAATATTGTTACTTTAACTTCATCAAAATTATTTTCGGCATTTTAAATAAATTATTATTTTCTAGAATTTTGAATTATTTTTTGTGAAAATAATTGAATTCCTTAAAAAATTGTATTATTTATGAAAATAATTAAATTCCTGTGAAATTTGTATTTATGAAAATAATTAAATGTTTGCATACAATTTTATTCAAATTTTGTTTAAATAATTGAATTCTTTTTGGGAAATTTTATTAAAATAGTAGATATTGAAAGTCATTGAAATTAGAAAATTTTTTGAAAATAATTGAAATTTGGACAAGGATTTTTTTGACATTTATGAAAATAGATAAACTTTGGAGAAGAATTTTGTTATTTATAAAGATAACTGGGATTTTTACGAGAATTTTTTTTTAAATTTTGAACATAGTTGAATTTTATAAGAAGAATTTTATTTTCAATTAAATATATATTAGAAATAACTTGAAATAATATAAAAAAATTCAATTCAACTTTTTCAAAAATGTTAATGTCTAAATTCAATTATTTCTAAAAATTCACGCTATATTGATTTTAATATTCAATTATTATCTAAAATTTTAACTGAAATTAATTTTTAAATCAATTTTTATTAGAAAATTCTACTAGAATTCAATTATTTAAATACAAAAATAAATAATTTATTGAGTAATTGAATGTTTTTTAAAATTGAATTCTCATAAAGAATTTTATCAACAAATATTTAAATAATTAAATTATTTTGAAAATTTTTATTAAAATTTGTAAGAATAATTAAATTTTTGGAGGAACTCGAATAAAATTCAATTAAAAATAATGAAATTCTGCGATGAGTTTTATTATTTCTAAAAATAATTTAATTCTTAATTAGAATTTTATTATTTTTTAACAATATTTATTTTTTGCAAAAAATATTATTACTCTTGAAAATTAATTCCACAGAATTCTTAGTTAAAAATATAAAAAATTCAAATTTCCAAAGATTTTAATCTGAAACCTTTTCAAAATTCAATTATTTCTAAAAATTTACTCTCTAATGCTTTTAAAATTCAGTTATAATCTAAAATTTTAACTGAAATTCATTTTGAAATCAATGTTTATGAGAAAATTCTACTATAATTCAATTATTTAAATACAAAAATAACAATTTATTGGATAATTTCATGTTTTTGAAATTGAATTTTAATAAAGAATTTTATCTATAAATTTTTAAATAACTAAATTCTTTTGAAGAATTTTAATAAAATTTTTAATAATGTTTTCCAAGCATTCGATTATAATTGTTTTAAAAATAATTTAAATTCCGCAATAAATTTTTTTTTTTATGAAAATAATTAAATTACTAAAAAGAATTTTATTATTTACGAAAATAATTGAATCCCCGTAAAAATTTTAATATTTTATTTATTTATATAAATAATTATTTATGGCATTATTTATGAAAATAATTGAATGATTGCAAAGAAATTTATAAAAAAATTTGTAAATAATAAAATGACTGTGAAATTTCTATTATTATTTGAAAATAATTAAAACTTTGTGTAGAATTTTATAAATTTTTTTTTTAATAATTGAATTCTTTTGGAAAATTGTATGAAAATTGTAAATATTGAAATACATTAAATTTAGGAAAATTTTTGAAAATGATTGAATTTCGGAGAAGAATTTAATTATTTCTAAAAATAATTGAAATTTTGATGAGAATTTTGAAAAATTTTTGAACGTAATTGAATTTTTACGAAGAATATTGTATTACTTTTAAAAATAATTGAATTTCTGCAATTATTTGTATTTTCTCTAAAATTCTCCAAATTATATCGTACAATCTATGAACTTTTCGTTATTTTTTAATCAAATTACAGACTTTACGGAATACCCCCTTAACTAAAAATATAATTTTCTACAATCTTATCATTTCATGTGTTTTTTTTCTTTTTTTTTTTACAGAAATTCATAAAAACCGCCAAGTGATAATTCTTCATAAATTCGCTGCCAATGGTGCTGTCTTCTTCGAAGTTTGTCCCCCTCTCCACCGTCAAGAGTAGTTGACATCGCAAAACGGTGAGTTAAAAAAAAAAAAATCATACTTGGCATTGAAATATAGTTTATATATATATATTATACAGTTTTATTCCCCTTGCGAAAATTGAAAAAAATAGAAATAAAAACGGACTTTAGCCTATATATGAAAAAGAATAAGAAGAAAAAAAAAAGTAACAAGGAAATAGGGAGTCAATATCAAACTTGGTAGAAGTAGACAGAAACAGGAAATCCCAAAGCGGAAGCGGTGACATCGCGCGTCGATGCTAGTTTTGGTCGATCTGCACTCCGACAAAATGGCCGGAAGCGCGCTGAGCGTGCTTGTAAGTTTTGGCTAATAGAAAAAAATGTCCCAACCTCCCTTGTTGCATTTGCGGCCATTGTTTTTTATTCCAATACATTTTAGCCGGATTCGCTGGCTTTCGACACTATAGCGACACTATGGGTGTAACATCTCTCTCTCTCTCTTTCTCCTTCTCTCTCTCTCTTTCTCTTTTTCTCCTACTCTCTGTCTCTTTCTCCCTTTTCGCTCTCCTCTCTCCTCTCTCTCTTTCTCCTTCTCTCTATTTTTTCTCTCTCAATTTTTTTTCTCTCTGTATTTTTCTCTCCTCTCTCTTTTTCTCTCTCTGTATTTTTCTCTCCTCTCTCTCTTTCACTCTCTGTTTTTTCTCTCCTCTCTCTTTCTCTCTCTAAATTTTTCTCTCCTCTCTATTTTTCTCTTTATTTTTTTCACTCCTCTCTCTTTTTCTCTCTCTGTATTTTTTCCTCTCCTCTTTCTTTCTCTCTCTCTCTCTCTCTCGATAAATGTAGAGAGGTGGCGCAACTCTCTCGCTCCGACGTGGATTTACATGCCTTTACTGACCCCCCTTTTTTCCCACTCTCTCCTCTCTTCGTTTACCCCCTTTCCCCAGTTTTCAGCCCCTTCAGTATGGACGAATATTTTCCCCGCGTCAACCCTCTTTTTTTTTTTTTTTTATTTTTCACCAGCAGCAACTGTCTGTCATTAGGTGCATAGTACGCGAAGTACCGATGGTGGAGGCGGAATGATGCTGTAGATGGAAATGTGTATGGGGCAAAAAGGGGGGAGGGGAGGAAGGGAGGTTTGCATGGACCCCGCTATTTGGCATCGAGGAGGGGGGGGGGAGGTGTAACGCTAGAAAACGCATTTAACAAGGACAGATAGTGATTTAATTTTAAAAAATTGACGAAACGGCTCGACGTCGGACATCGTATGCTCCGTCGGGCATTGATTAACTTTCGACAATGTCAAATCGCGGGACGAACCAGCAACTCCACGGCCTTTTTCACTCATTTGTCTCCGTTTTCGGAGCAGCCCACACACTGTCCTGCGGGAGATCCGGAAGCGGTCGTATGGCTAACGAGGACAAATCACTGAGAATTACCCGAGAATCGATAGACAGACAGAAGTCGTTCCGGGTACAAAATTGGGACATGTAGAGCATTTTTTTTTTTTATTTTTTTTATTTTTTTACAGTTTAGCTCGGGCCATGAAAATAAAAGAGGAGAATAATTATGTAACGCTTCAAAATAAATGAAAAGTGCTTTTAACTTTGACACTTTGTCATTTAAGAAGTTTGTCCCTATTCGTAATTTGAAATAATTGCTTACGAAAACAGAATTTATTTGAATTTTTGTTTTAATTTGAAAGAATTTAACAAAATGGTTTGTAAGGATTAATGGAGAATTTATTGGTTGTAATTCTTAAAATTGTTTATTAGATAGATACACGGAGAGACCCACATTCGTAAAAATTACTAAAAATGGTTGCAATGACCGGAAATAAGGGGACTTTTAGCATAATGTGCTACAGAATTAGATAAATTTACAAAAGAAATAGATAAATTTGCTACATTGAAATAGCAAGTTTTAATATTTTGTATAAGAGTTGTAAATGTAGCAAAAATTGATTATAGTTTTCTCTAATTTAATTAGACAAAATCTGACAAATGAAAACATTTTCCACTAAAACCTACGATCCACTGTAGTAATTTTTGGTGAGCAAGTGTGGCTAGCGAGTGCAGTCATATGGCGCCTGCATTTCTATTGGTTGCTAACTTCGTCAATCTCCGTAAATGAGCCGATGCCATCCGATCATTGACAGTGACTATGTTTCGCGTATGTAAAATAAATTTGGATATTATCTACAATAATTAAATATAAAGTGAAACGTAGGTCGTTCGGTATCTCAGAAATTGACCATTATAAATTAATAAACTTTGCATTTATTCCTGTCCCAAGAACTATGTCTTATAATAAGTTGTTAAAAGTAAACTGCTTTCTCGTAAGTGCTGTAAATTTTCATCATTCAATATATAAGGAAACAAAGATGTATACTTTCAGTGAAATTCGTTGTCGTGCGTGCAGTTGTGTATTAGTGTATTAATTAACCGCGTCTATACATATAAGTGAAATAAACATGTGTGTGTCTTCAAATATTTATCCAACAAATATATAAGTGTGTGTGTCTGTGTATGTAAAAATCCTTCCAGTTTGTCTCCATTAGTCAAGAATTGACGGGAAACCGGCGACAAAAATCCGTATTTTTTCTTTCACTCTTTCTTTCTGCATTTACAAACGACTGTAGTAATTTTACGTACACAATGCTTCTGAGTTTACTACAGTTATTTGGAACTATTGGACGAAATAGTAAGAAACTTTGCTAATTTGGTGAACATTTGTCGGGATTAGTGACTTAGTGTAGAAAATAGTAAAAAATACAAAAAGTCCCCTTATTTCCGGTGGTTGCAATGTGAAAATAGTAAATTCTAGTGTGATTTTATACAAAAATTAGTAATCTCGGTCTCTCCGTGTAATTAACTGTCTCTCTTATAGCAAATTAATAATTTACAATTCTAAATTCTTTTTTGTTCTTTCCCTTTTTAAATTCCTTTTAATTTTTAATAATGTTTTTTTTTCTTATTCGTTTTTATTCTAAGTTACGTAACAATAATATAAATGGAAAAATATAATATATAATATTATTCGTTCTTCTTTTTTATAGACCTTTTTAAAATAAATTTTTAGTTTAGTTACTAAAAACTTAAATTAAATAATATAATATAATAAAGAAATAAATTTTGAATAATTGGAAAAAAGTATTAAAAAATAAGAATGTAATATTCTTTTCGTTAAAAAAAATTTTGTTTAGAGTCACAGTGGAATCGAAGAAAGTAATTTGAAGAAAAACAGAAAAAAGGAATTAAAATTAAATTTGCATTTGTTATAAACAAATTTTTAATAAAGTGAAATCAATTGTTATAAATAATTTTATTAACAGACGAAAGTTCTATTCTCGACAGGTGTGTATTTTATTTATTTATTCACTTTGTTTAAACAATTTGAATTGTTATCACTCTTTTTTATTATTAATCTTTTTTAATGCGAAAGTAAAAATGAAAATTCGTTAAAAATTTCCCCAATTAATTTAAAATATTTAAAATTTAGAGAAAAATGCATTTTTTCGCGAATTTATTAGTCAAATTTGTTTAAACAATTTATTTAGTGAGCTTATTTATCCTAATAAAATTTAGTTAAATTTAAAAAATTTTACTGATTAAGCAGTGACATAAACTTAAATTTGACATTAACTTTTGTAAAAAAAATTTCTTGTAGTTTAAACTTTTTCGATTTGTTTGTGTAGTTGTAATTTTTAAAAAATTTTGTAATTTATTCCTCAAAAAAATACAATAGAATTTTACTAGAACAATTCAATAAAATTTCTTCATGAATTCAAATAAATGTTAAAATAAAGAAATATTAAAAATAAATAATAATAATTAGTAGGTAATTAATTTATTGTGTGGCATTGACAGTTTTGAATAATATTATTCAAAAATTTCTAAAAAAAATAATTGAAGTTTAGAAGACGTGCAGTTTAAATTTTCATAAAAAGAATTTTCAAATGGTTTTACATTGAAAGTATTTCGAAATTTTAAGAAAATAAAGAACAATAAGTAGGTATTTAAATATTTATTTTAGAAAAATGATTGAAATTTAAAAGATTTAATTTCGAAATTCTGACAAAAATTAGGTTTTTGAGAAATCGTAATTAAAATTTCGAAAATATTTTGATTCCTGAAATTAATTTTTAAAAAAATCGATACAATTGGAAATTTTGTAAAATTTTAATGAAATGTATATTTTAAAGAATTTTATTTTTTCATCTTTGAAAATTATCTAAAATATTATAGTATTTTTGAAAATACATTATTTTATGAATTTACAAAAATTATTATTCTTTTTTAATATTTCAATTCTCGTAGTTAAATTCTGATAGGAATTGATTTTTAAAAAAATGTCAGTAAAAATTTTAGAAACTATAATTGAATATTTAAATCGTTATAACGGAAATTTTAGGAATTAATTAAATTTTAAAGATTTTCAAATTAAATTTTTTTGAAAATTTAAGGGAAGCAAAAGTATCAAAATATTCAAATTTTTATTTAAAAAATTATTAATTACATTGATTTTCTTTAAAAATTCTTTAAAAAATAATTTGAATAATTTTATCGAAAAATTCTAAAAAAATAATTGAATTTTGTAAGAATTACAGTCGGTAATTTTTAAAAATAATTGAATTTCAAAAAGTTTTTCATTGAAATTATTTTTAAATTTAATTCCTGTGAAAGATAGAAAAGTTTTTTATTTTTTGTTTAACAAAAAGTATTGAAGTTTTGAATAATTTAATTTAGTACTGTCGAAAAAATTTTTTTCTTGAATAAATGTAATTAAAATTTTTTAAAATTGTTTTTTTTTTACAATTGTATTTGAGAAAAAAATGTTAAATTGAAACGTTTGTAAATTTTTTCAAATATTTCTATAAAATAAAATTTTATATTTCAATGGATTTTATTTGTTTCATGTTAAAAATTATTTTGAAATATATTAGTATTTTTAAAGAATTCTAATTGAAAAATTTGGAAAAGAATTGATTTTTAAAAAAATTTTAGTAAATTTAATAAATCAATTATGGTGGAGATTTAAATTTGTTTCCTTTCAGT